AGGTATTATGTTAGGCAGGGTTCTCTAGAGAAACAAAACCAGGACACTTTGGATTTTTATATAGATAGAAAAATAGATATATAGGTTTATACAGCAAGAATATATAACAGCTAATTAGTCCACACTATAGTACAGAGGGCTCAGTTCAACTCACTTTCATGGGACAATTAATATACTGGAAGTCCTTCGACTCACGTGGGCTGCAGGGGCCAAGGTCAAGGAACCAGACAGCAGAACCTTCCCTCGGGAAAGTAGGCAGAGTCTGCCCACAGGCAGCAAACAGCAGGTCGGGTCAGCAACAGCCAATAGCTCAGGAGTTTAGCAAAGCAGGCCTGGATGGCATATGGAACGAATGCAAGCAACGCAAGGTGACAGGCTGCACCAAACTCAAGCGAAGGAGCCTCAAGCTACAGTGACAGGATCAATGGGTTGGCTTGGCCTACAGGCAGTGTATCACACAGGTGGAGGCAGAGAACTAGCTAAAGCAGCAGCGTGCTCCAGCATGTTTGATCACCAAAGAGCAGGGAGTAGGGGGGAGGCCTTGCAGAGCCATTTTTCTCTTTGCCCTCTAATGAAACTGTGACCTGATTACTCCCACATGTTCCTCTTAGCCAGGTTGGCGCAATAAACCTAACCATCCTAGGTATCTAATTTTCTAAAATTCCCATTTCTATAAACCCAGTGCTCTGAGGAGACGAACATGTTCTTTGATGTGAAGAATCTTCATTCCAGTGGAACCTTGTGTGTCTGAATCTATAAGCAAAATCAAATCTAGATCAGACCATTGAGTCAGCAAGCAACATGCACTAGCACACGGGGTCAAACATCTTCCTCTCCCAGTTGGGCTCTGGTCAGCTCAGTCCTAGCCTTTCCAAGCTAGGAAATTTTACACAGGACTCCTCCACCCTCATCACCCCCTATCCCCCTACCCCTTCCCCCCACAACCTCCCGGCCCAACTTCAGACCCTGGCTTAAATTCACATATTCTCAACAACCCCTAACCCCTCAGGCTAGGTCATGCCATAGGCTCAGGTTCCATACAACTTTAAACTTCAGACCGGTCACTCCATTCTCTTCTCTAGTCCTTGTGGACCAGGTCCATGGACATGAGTGGCTAGATTCAACCCGATCCTCCACTTTTGCATTTCCCCCACCTCCACTCACATTCCAGGTAGTCCTCTAACAAGTATTTCAGGCTGCTCAATGTCTCCCTTTAACCTTCAGCCGTAGAGTGCTGAGTTGAATAATGGGCACAGGTTTCTCTGGCCTAGGCACGTCCACAGGCAAACCATTTGCTCAAAATTTAAAGAGCCAGTCACCTGTAAATGTCCTGATAATCAAGGCACAGGATGGGGCTTACCTTTTCAAACAAAAAGCCTTTCCTTGCAGGCAATCCCTAATGTCCATTTTAGCCTATCTAACAGCAAAGGCTGAAGGTAAATGGGCTCACAAGCTCTAATAATAATTTCCAATATTCATTTATATCATACGTTATGTCAATAACATTAGGTGGGAGGAATCTAAAATCCCAATACAGCAGATCCTCAACACAGTTTTTAAAAAACACTCAAATTTAAAGTTCTCCCAGACTACTTCATTTATATGCAGATGGTCTTAGACTCCACTGGAGGGCAA